TGGACCCCCATCCACCGGCTTGCGGACCCCCAGGATTCCGGGGACCCCAGTTTGAAAGCCACTGGTCTATATAACATTTCACATATTACAAACTTGTTTGACCTCTGAGACACTGCCACTGTTCAGTTAAAAATGTGAAAACAGCCTTTAAAATCCAGCTTTGCACAATTTTATAACTACACAGAGAACTTCAAGCAACCAGTAGAAGCAGCAACAAGCAAAATGTACAGTTCGGGGAATGATGACTAAAAATTCCCCACTGGGCATTTATTATACAGCTGAGAAGTCACAGCAGTTCATCAAAATTACATACCGTAGTTAGAAGTTTTTACAAAGATATAATTTCCTGAAGCCCTAGAAATGATTTAGATGTAACTGCACCAAAAGCAGTAACTGTGATCCATGAACATGCAGATTCCTCTGCCTGCCTGCAGCGTAAGCTTTAGACTACTCACCTTGAATTCTCTTTTAGCATCCTGAGCTGCACAGTGACAAACTGGGTGTCTGAAGGGGGAATGACTGAATCACACAGTTGCCTATAAAATTGATGTGTTCTGTTGCAAATATAGGAGGTAACAGACCATTGAACTTACTGTTATTAATCAACTAATGCTGTGTTACTAATGTCTGACGTTCATATCAATACTGTTTCTTTTCTTCTAGTTTTTATTTTATTTGTGGTTCAGTGATATCCAAGAATTAACAGAATATGGAAAAAGAGAAAAATCTGCAAACTCTGATCATATTAAAAAGACAACAGTGTTTAAGCCATCCTGGACTTTAGATGTAATGGATAGGTTTTCAACTGTAACACATCTTTTACCTATCTTTCATGCATCTTCTTCTTCTTTGGGCTTTTCCCTCTTCAGGGGTCGCCACAGTGAGTCCTCCATCTCCCTCTGCCCTCTGCATCCTCTGTCCTCACTCCAACTACCTCCATGTCCTCTCTAACTGCATCCATATATCTCCTCTTTGGCCTTCCTCTTTATCGTTGTCCTGGCAGTTACATTTCTAACATCCTTCTACCAATATACCCACTGTCCCTCTTCTGGACATGTCCAGACCATCTTAGTCTGGCCTCTTTAACTTTATCTCCCAGTTGTTCAACCTGTGCTGTACCTCTGATGATCTCATTCCTAATCTTATCCATCTTTGTCACTCCTAAGGAGAACCTCAACATCTTCATTTCTACCACTTCCAGTTCTTTCTCCTGTCTTTTTGTCAATGCCACTGTCTCCAGACCATACAATATAAGTGGTCTCACAACTGTCTTGTAAACTTTTCATTTGACCTTTTCTGCCGCCTTTTGTTGCAAATCATTCATGAAACTTTTCTCTGTCCACTCCACTTTGGGGCAGCTGAGGCTGAGTGGTTAGAGCAGTTGTCTTCCAATGGGAGAGTTGGGAGTTAATTTCCAGCAGTAGTCATATGCTGAAGTGTCACTGGGCAAGACAGTGATCCCCTCATATTCTCTGATGTGTGTACCATTGGTGTATGAATGTGATCTGAAAGCACTAATTAGTCTTTGTAGAGATGTAGTAGAGTGCTGTATGAATGTGTGTGTGGAGGGTAAATGAGGGCACAGATTGTATTGCAAAGCACGGTGAAGTATCTTGATTAAATTGAAAAGCTCTATTGTCCATTTACCATCCTCTCCATCCTGCCTGGACTCTCTTTTTCACCTCTTTACCACATTCCTCATTTTCCTGGACAGTGGATCCAAAATACTTGAAGTACTGCCCCTTTGTGACCTCTGCTCCTTGTAGCCTCACTGTTCCACCTTCCTCCATCTCATTCACACACATGTACTCTGTCTTACTACGGCTGACTTTCATTCCTCTTCTTTCAAGTGCATACCTCCACCTCTCCAAGTTCTCTTCCACCTGTTCCCTGTTCTCACCACAGATCACAATGTCATCTACAAACATCATAGTCCATGGGGATTACTGCCTCACCTCATCAGTTAGTTGGTCCATCACCAGAGCAAACAAGAAGAGGCTCAGAGCCGATCGTTGATGCAATCCCACCTCCACCTTGAAGCTATCAGTCACTCTTACAGCACATCTCACCACTGTCCTGCTGTCCTCATACATGGCCTGTACCAGTCTAACATACTTCTCTGCCACTCCAGATTTTCTCTTGCAATACCACACCTCCTCCTTCAGTACCCTGTCGTATGCTTTTTCTAAATCCACAAAAACACAATGGAGTTTTTTCTGACCCTCTCTGTACTTCTCCATCAGCATCCTCAAAGAAAAGATGGCATTTGCGATGCTCTTTCTTGGCATTAAGCCATACTGCTGCTCATAAATGGTCACCTCTTGTCAAAGTTTAACTTCCACAGCTCTCACAGATCTTCAGCTTAATTTCCCTGTGGTTGCTACAACTATGAACATCACCCTTGTTCTTAAAATGGCACCAGCACATGTTTCTATTCCTCAGGCATTTTCATTTTCTCATCCTCATATATGCCATTGAATATATGAGTCAAAAACCTCACTGCCATCTCTCCAAGACATTTCCAAACCTCCACTGGTATGTCATCAGGTCCTACTGCCTTCACCTTCAGCATTCTCTTCAGAGCTTTCCGAACTTCACTCTCACTTTAATTCTTCCCACTTCCTGGTCCACAGTTTCTATGACCTCTACTCTTCTTTCTCTTTCACTCTCTTGATTCATTAGCTTCTCAAAGTACTCCTTCCATTTTCCCATCACACTCTCCCCACTTGTTATAACATTACCATTCCTATCTTCCTATAAGCTTAAGCCTCAGCACATCCTTTTCAGCCTGATCCCTCTGTCTCACCAATTGGTACAAGTCCTTCTTGCTCTCTTTAGTGTCCAACCTCTCGTACAACTCATCATACGCCTTCTGCTTTGCCATAGCTACCTCTCTCTATGCTCTATGTTGCATCTCCTTCCTGTCTCCTCTCTTCATTCCTCTCACTGTCATATTCTTTCTTGGCTAACCTCTTTCTTTGAACGGCATCCTGCACTTCACTATTCCACCACCAGGTTTCCTTATCTTTCTCTGTCTGGATGACACACCAAGAACCTTCCTACCAGTCTGTCTAATTACCGTTGCTGTAGTAGTCCAGTCATCTGCCACGAAGCCAAGATTCAACTTGTCTTCTGGCCTCCTTAGATAGAGAACTTTACTAATTGGCTTTTGTGTATGCGAATGTTTCTGTAAAGTGCCCTGAAACAACTTTGTTGTGATTTGGCACTATATAAATAAACTGAATTGAACGTAATTGAATCTGGAAGCTCTTTCTTATCACCTAGACATAATATTTACAGTACCAACAAAAAAGGTTAAATCGTGTCATCTGTACCAGTTTCTAATACTTACATTAATTTATGTTATAGTAGATTGACATGTGAATCTAAACTTTATACGCTATACAAATCAATGCTATATTATTTTAATATGAATAGTTTTAAGTTTTCTCTTCTAACGTGAATTCTTTCCAGCATATCTCAGAAATTTGTTTCTGTACACCACATTCTAACACAAAATTTATTTTTTGGTTATAAACAGGCATTATAAACAACTCCAGCTGGTTTTAATTGTTTGTGTTTTGTAGAAGAAGTGTCTTTTTGTACATGACGTACCTTGTCTGCAGTAATTTTATTCACATGTAAATAATTAGTGAGAAGGTTATTTCAGAGCAATGTGCAGAAGTAAACAGTACATTTCTGTAATGCTTTAAAACAATATGTTAAATATTGGCTCCTGAGTCTGCACAACAGCTAAAGAAAAAACAAAACAATCCGTCTCATCCCGAGTCAACTTGAACTGAAAATCCTTTATCCTCCAGGCAGAATATGCACAATTTGATACAAAAAGAATCATTCTCTAAAGAATCGGACACTTTAAGGGTATAATAAAGATAGATTTGTTTATTAAAAGAACACCAATAAAATTATTTTCAAGACTTTTTTTTATTCCACATATCTGATGAAGAAAGCGATGAAGATGCAGCCAATCAGGGATACGGCCGAGGCCGACAAGACCACCACGATTACACTTCCTGCTGCGTTGACCAGAGCCCCGAGCCCTGCACCCACGATGATCTGAGCCAGCTGGACCATACAGGTGAGCGCGGCACAGTCCATCCCCGTGCCCCGAGGGACTTTATCGCCTGCTTGTAACTTCGGCTGTTCCTGGAAGCACAGCAAGTCAGAATGATCGTGTTTAGTAAGGAGGAAGAGGAGATAAAAATCTGTTCTCTGTAAATTTGTTTTTCAGAGGTTTTTTGTGATCAAAATACATGGGATAAACAATTGTAGTAGCAGAAAATATTAATAAAGCACCTCAAACAGACACGGTTTGACTTTTTCCCACATCCGGGCCACCTGTTTTTTTTTTCTTTTTCAAATGAGACTGAGTAAGAAACATTATATTATTCTTCTAACAATTTTTTTTATTTTTTAACAAATCTAACTGAGTTGTACACGTCTGATCAAAATCACAGTTTCCAAACATCCAAAAATAAAGACCTCCCACTAGTTTTCTATTGCAAGGGAGCAAATTCGTAAACAAAATGAAGGTGCTAAAATAGAATCTGATTTCCTGTAAACTAAATGAGCATGTTAATTCAGATTACTTTATTGTTTGCATCCATGAGCCTGGAGCTCCCTGAAAACAGTAAATGGATTCTGTTTGTAATTAAGGAAACTAAGGTAAACACGCTTTATACCAGAGCCAATTCAGTTTTCACAAACTCAACAATTAGCGACTAAACCATGTGTTTTATAGTTCAGAAGGGAAGGAATATCCACTAATATCTCTGGTGTGGCTTTGAATAAAAGTTTATATTGTATTAGAGGGTGTGCAGGAAACTTATTTAAACGTCTCCATCAGTTGATGGCATTTTACCTGCATCGCTTTCAGACTAGTTGTATGTTATAGTTGCAAAATCATTATTAAAACCACAAGACATTAAAAACAGCTGCTTTCTTACATATCAAATTTCTTCTAACTTTGGAAACTTCAAACAAAATTCTCATTTTAATAGGTTTTAAAACATCTTCCATGTAAGCCCTTTATCTGGACTCTGTTTTAAGCCTTTTCATGGGATTCATTAGGTTCTGGTATATTTTATGGTAATTTCAATCTGGACTCCTCGTGCCACAGTGAGGTCCAGATTTTGGGGTTGAAAATTTATATTTATTCTCTTGCTGAATTGCTTTTCTCTTTTCTTTCTAAGGTGGCTCAGGTTTAGAATATGCCACTAAAATATGAAACGTTCACACCAAATTTGTTATTCTTGCAGTTTTAATACGCCTCAATCTAAACATAACAGAACAAACAAGTATAAAATGTTTCATAAATGATAACTGTCATTTGTTTTAGTAAATAAAACAAGAACAGATTATTTTTCTTAACAAGTCAGATACCAGAGATACTCTTCTTCTACTAAAATTTGCCACAAGGTTAAATTCTCTTTGAGAAATTTAAGCCATTAAAGTTGAACATTTTTACCTAAATATAACTAATATTATGACTTTTTATTGCTTTTTTTATTTTCTACTAACTGGCCGACATGTTTGTTAGCTTCACTGTGTTTTTATAAAGGTTATAGTAAAGAATGGTACTAATTTTAGGCCTGTGCATTCTCTTCCGCTCTGTGTTTACAGTGTAGTTTCTGCAGAACAAACTTATGAAACAAATGTTAGTCCTGGGCACAGCAATGATTTCATGCAATTCTATAGAAATTCAACTGCACACCAGAATTTATGCATTAAAAGTCATGAATGTCCATGTTTGTCACCAAACAGCTATCTTTGTATGATAACTTTGTCACATTCACTTTTAGGACTGATAGCAAAAGTGTGCAACTAAAACAGCCTCTGATAGCACTCAGGGTTCCCCGTATTTCTTGAAAACAAAATTCACTGAGTTTTCCCTGAGTAAATCCTGAGATTCCAGGCGATATTTCATTCACACAAAATGCTCAGAATTTAGCGTTTCAGGCAACGTGCAGAGTCACATTCAGAAATGACAATACGTAAACTGTACTGTACGTAAACTGTACTGTACGTGCAAATGGCAATAATTCCTAAATGAAATGCTATTTTCTGAAACATCAGATACTAAAAAGCCACTAAAGACAACCAGTAATGATACATGTACTATGTACAAATTGTACACTGGAGAAGCAGAATATTGACTCATGGATACTAGAATACAATAGTCCCTCGCTACTTCACGGTTCGTTTATCGCAGACTCGCTCTATTGTGGTTTTTCAAAGTAAGATTGGACATT